TGATCACCGCTGCACATCCATCCACCCATCTATTAATCTATCGAGTCGTCCAAAATCTAATAACATCCATCACCGTGGTCATTAAAGTGTAGTTTGTGAATTGACGCAGGAATGCCTTTGTATTCGTTCAAAATGCATATAGCGTGGATGACTTGAATTTCCCCTTGTCTGGATGTTCATGTGATTCTAACTGTAACGAAAAATTCTCATTTGATCGTCAAAATGAAGAAGGCTTTGATCGGAATAGAAGAGAAAATTCATGGTCTAGTTCTGTTTGCCCAGTTACGAGACTGCATTTTCTCTTTTGCACTTCGTATGAAATTTGTAAAACAGATAATGGGGTAGCCGTCTGGGAGTGGGATTGATGCTTGAGAGCAAAACATGTGTGGGCATTGAGACAACAGAAAATGTTTGATTTCAGTGTCAATCACAAAGTACATGCTGGCCGTTTTTCAGCTCAATTTTCAGACAAGATCAACGTTCCAAATAGTAGAGTGTTCCCCCACACTTTTGACTACCTGCTCATAAATTCGTTGTTTTGAGCCACCCTCCTTTCTCTTCATTTCAGTCCCACAGTCTCAAATTCATGTTGATTTGTAGCTCTAGAACTCAAGTAACTCGTTGTCCTTCTGGGATCTAGCAGTATTACATTTGTTTGTAGTTTGGTTGTTATGGTTTAAGTTGGGTACAGTTACAGCCGTTACCTCAACCAGTTCCTCTCGATTGGCTTGTGCTAACAAGTAAATCTCCACTTCTATCTTTTGCGGAGGCATCCTCCTCTAACACGAATACATCAAAGCTTGTTTGGTTTAACTTTGGTTGATATAAACGCATTGTGAGCGTAATATTGTTTTACTCAGATAGGGGTATTCAATTGGTTGAATTTGGTCTTACAGACATCACATTTGGGACAGAAATTCTAGTTTGTGCAGTACGACTTTCCACGTGAGAAATAACCGATTTTACGCGCACATGTTGTGCGGTTGATAAATTGTGGTACAAAATCCGTAGAGGAAACGTTTCTTAGTTCCATCCCCGGTGAGTATATTTCCCGTCTTTACATTTCAAGCAAACAAAGGTAGTTGAAACTATATGGTCTTCAATGACAACCCCTTTTGTTAATATTTCAGTGAGTAGCAACCAAAAACTCGAAAAGTTTTTGATCAACTCATTTGTTCGAAGGTTGGAAATGTGGCTTTTTATACAACAGTAGCAAATAAATGAGTGAAAAGTATTTCCCACACCCGGACTTTTACAGATTTTGTGGCTTTTGCTGTTCTCTGTTAGTTATAATAACCAGCTGGTTAAAAAAAGCTCACAATGTGGTTTGGATTGCCGGTTTTAGCCTCAACTGAAATCCAAACTGCTGGAACGGACAGTATACACACTTCCATAGTTTCGTACCGCTCGATCACAAGCATAATTTGGTGCGCTGTCTTCTATTGAGTAAGATGTATTTGCTCAGAAAACACACTATTAGCAGAATTAGCAATTGTGCGAAAGACGCCGTCAAAAATTTGCTACCCGGAAACGTTCATCAATCGTAACTGGTCTGAAGGAACAAAATATGTGGTTGCAGATAGAGCTAAGAAAAAGACTTTGATCATCAAACTTCCGTTTAAAGGAGATCCAGCAGCTGGAAGGGTTACTAGATTCCTGAGTGCCTCAGTCAAAACAACGTTCAATGCCGCCAAACTTAGATGCCTGTTCTCGACATCACCCGTCAACAGCTATCAGCACAAGGATAAGTTGCGTATATTGACCTCGTCAATGCTCATCTAACAATTCAAATGCACTTGTGGTGCCACTTATGTAGGTCGTACGACAAGGCAGTTATCTAATCGTATCAAGGAACATCAACCCGCTTGGCTCAGACAGGGAGGAATTGGAGTTACTTCCAGTTCGCTTTTTGCACTCTTGGTCGAAACCGAACATAGGGTGGATACTAGTTCGACTTTCACTATCATTTATCGCTTCCCACAACACAAATCCAAGGCTGTTTGAATTAAAACACTAGCAACAGCCGGGGCAATTATCATCCGGTTGTTGAAGCCAGAATTGTGTGGTAAGAAGGGCACTTGTTCAGGCACTCAACCTTCCGCGGCTCAAACGAGAGAAAATCACGCAAGAGCGTTGTATCACCCATATCAATTATCAACGCTTACGTAACCCGGTCTTATCTGAACCAGAGAACTAAGGCGACAAATGTGTCCCTGCCCCACCTCGTTACTTTAATTGTCTGACCTCGAATGTTTGACCCTAACACAACACCTTCCCGCTAGTTTCTGACAATAATGTGATTGTACTGGCTTGAGAAGGAACTCACCGAAAACATATGTTCGCCTACTATCTTCTAAATATTCATTTAACACGGCACGTCACTATTTGTCAGTTTCCTATCAAGGGTATTGAAATGACTCGATTTTCAACAACTGCTATTAACGGACACCAATGAGCTGTCAATTATAATAATAATTTGAAAACAGTGATGGTAAAAATGTGTGATAATTCTGTTCCATTCACATTTTTAAATGATATCTAATTGAAAAACATGCCAACATTTTTCCCAGATTACAGTTGCTTGGCATTTTCCAGTTTGGGAACCGTGGGAGAAATATTGTGAAATCACCATGTTTTGTATTAAAGTTCTGTGGAACAATAACAACTAAATAGAGGATAAATCCTTGAGAAAAGGTCCGCGAATATAAAACAAAGTCGCCTAATTCATATCTGAAAATCAAAATATCGAAAAGCAGACTGTCTTACATCAGCATTAGACGTCAGTCGTACTCTCAGTTTTAGTGAGTTTACATTTATTAAATCGACCAAATAAAATTATTCCGCAAGTACTAATACTCCTTCTAGTTTGGCATATTTTCTGATAATTGCATGTATTACGAATTATGGGTCATGGTTCAAAGGTTAAAATGCTCTACATTGTAATAAGTGAAATGAATCCAATGTACAAAAATAATAATTTGACACGACCACCACTCAGATTTCATTGTTACACATAATTCAGTTCATTCATTTAACCATACACTCTCATAGCACTAGACGCGCGTTTTGCTTTCCTTAGAGTTCATCAGTAATGCATATCTACCTTCGCATACGGCCTTTGATCTCCAGACCCATCGCATGCAGGCAGCGTGTGTTACCATTGTGCCGATGAGCTCACACCGGTGGCTGGCAAGCATTGCCAATTCATGTTTGTTCAAGCGTCATCTTTATGGAGAGCAGGCGATTTCATTTCTGGGGCGATAACTGCAAAGTGATGTTTGTGCTTGGAAATGAAGTCTGAAAGCTGGTTAGTTGAAATCATTATCTCATATCACGACTAATAATAAATAACTGTGAGTTGAACGTCAGTTACAGAAATTATCCTTTAGAAATGTTATGAAGCACACAGTGCTTCGAGTTTAGCATAATGATTAGTTGGTTTTCTTTGAAGCAGTAACAATCATTACGATTGATCTGCTGAAAGCAAAAACATTTCCATCGACTGACGTCAAACGTGTGAGAACAATCAAACCCTTGAAATTCTAAACGTCTCAGTTTGTTTGTTTCACGCAAACAATGAGTACATTATGGTCGATTGATAAAAACATGACTCGTATGCAAACTGAAATAAGTCATATTGTCCATATCAAGAGCGTTGTTCAAGTGTTTCACTTTCAACCGTGTGTCAATTAATTTAACCTCACCAGTGTTCAGATAAACGAATGCAGGTACTTGTATGATAGCCATAGTCGTTGATGCCAGTTAGAGCAAAAATCGATAGCATTCTTTTTTGGGTGCTCACCACAAAACTTGGAGGGAATTCAAAGTGAAACGAAAATCAAATAATCATTGTACAAACTCGATTGCAGGGGTTCGATCACAAACTGGGAAAAAGCGCCACTGGGCATTACATTAAGTGGAGCTAATCGATTTCAATAACTTAATGTAAAAACATGATGAATAATAACAATTTATTAGCTCATAACTATAAAACTTAACATTAAATGGTATCGACAAGAACATGCATACAATGGAGTATCAATTTTAACATATCGCTATTCATTTTGGACAATAAATGCTCCACAATAATCTCATACTCTTGGGAATACTGAAATTGTTCAATGGCACTTCATTTGTGAATAGGCTGCCATTGATTTGTTGAGAGAGGGGTATTTTCGACAAGACCATGAACTAGTTTAGAAACCTGCGTTGTTTTTCCCTCATAGGTAATCAAACTGCTCGAAACTTCGAAGTCCGTTTTCAGGGAAACAAATCAATATGATGTCTATGTGCGAGGGAATGCGCATTTGTTAACGTCACGGGTAATTCTTCAGTTCTATGATAATCATGCACGAGCATAATTGTGAACGATGATTTTAAGTCTAAGTTGTTTTTCATCCGAATTCAGTTATCCAATGCAACACCACTGCTGCCATGATTATTATCGACAACGCAACCGAAATTTATCCAGTTAACACGTTTTATTTAAAGTTAGATAAGATAAATAGTTCTCATTTAACTATGATCAAATATTATTCATAGTGATCACTCGAAGAGTTTTTCTTTATGTTGCGATTCTCGCTTGTAGATAATCGAACTTCCCAAAGACGTCGGTATTACTGATAACATTTTAAATTTTCTTGGATGGTTTGAGTCAATCTGCCCGCAGGTCAAACGGGTAGCGGGACTAATAACTTTTATAGAAAACTCAAAAGGAAATTCGTATGGAACATACGGGATTGCAGATCAACATAGTTTGTCCAATCAGATCATTTGGGAAAACCGGCCAATCAGAGCTGTTCGCAAAGTTCTCATGTGTGCGTAGAATCGGATGTTCCTCAGGAGAGTTCATCCAACCATATTGTTTGATGATATTAGCCCGAAATCCAGTTCATGATTCAGCTGTGAGGAATATACAGAACTGTGCTTGATTCCTGTTTTCCCATTCTCGACTTTGTCGAACGGATTTGCACGGAAGACGATGCAAAATTCCTTACTGAATGCGGACTTTTTACGCCGTCGGTACCAGTGGCTGTGTTGATTTTGTCTTCGGTGGACATTTTCGTTACATCGTACTCTTGCTAATGTGGACTGCTGTGTGGAACTGTTTCGTTCCAATCGTTACAGTGAAATCGCACAAAGAAAGCGGTTACGATTATTGCATGCTTTGGCATGAAGAGCAAAAAGTAATCCTAGCTAGCGGGTGAGTTCGAATCTTAATTTTTGTCACGTTTTGTGCATCCCGTTTTGTTTAGCCATCGAATGTTCCTGATGCATCTCTCCTCGAACCAGTCCAGCTTATTGCCAATATTGGAATGGCCTAGTGATCCATTACCTCCGGTTCTGAGTTCCATAATTGAACTGAAGCGGTGTAAAGCAGCCATTAAATGGGTGGTTCCACTGTTTGATTGTGCGTACGAAGTGTGCGGCTCCGTGGGACACGACATCCACTGTCATGTTTATACGGTAACCAATACGAACACGTGGAAATGGATATCCACACAGAAAATTGCCTTCCAATCAAACATTCAAAGTTTACTTCATCATTACGTGGGTGAGTAACCAGTGATCTCTGATCCCTGATTGTTTCCAGTTAGCTTTTTTTCTCTAACCACAATGATAATTTCTATTTTTGTTCACACCGGGGTGATATAACTGAGTCGGTTACAGTGATATATACAATCAGTCAAGTGGTAGTAAATGTTGGAACATACCATTACGGCGCGTTCGTGGGAACATGTCGCCTGTCTGTTTACATACAATTAGGTTTGTTTATCATATTGGCTATAGTGAAAAATGCTTTCGAGTGATCATGTAATGGTTGTTTTGTTTGTAACTCAGTAAACATGGCATTTGTAGCTTTTAAGTCCAACTTAGAAATGGTATCAGATGAACCACGTTCATGCAGTAGCATTTTGGGGAACTATATCATTTAGACTGTTTCAAACCATTTGGAGATAATACAAAAGAACACCTGAACGTGGTGGACGATACTGATTTATGAGTTACTGACGTTATGTTGGTTAATGAGAATGATTTGTTGACTGTGATTTCGGGAAGGAAGAAGGATAAACTGGACTAAAGTGAACTATTTTTTTTGGAGGTACATGAGATTGTTTAAGAATATTTGAATGTAAAACGTTTCCGAAATACATATTTCAAAAGTACTTCCGTATAAACAAGGTTATTTTCTAACTTAGAAACACATGCAAGATTCTTTGATTGTCACATTCTATCACATGCACAAGAAGATTTAACTGCAAAAATCTCTTTTTGTTTCCATCTTTTCGAATGTCCTCATCCATACCTACGAAGAGGTTTTAATCATTATAAAGAGGGAAGGCCCTCTTTGAGATAGAGTATTTTTCGAAGAAACTACATAATAGCCCTCTGTTCACCATTGGGACTGATCACTGTACACACTATTTACTTTGTAAAACGTTATTGGCCTATTAAACAAACCATCGCCACGAAGAATGCTGTACTAATTAAAACTAACATGAGACGTCCAATTCTAAAGGACACTCACCAATAAATCTTCCATTCGAAACACGGTAAAATGAATTTCCGTCTTAACATTTCGCTCGCTAGAGCACTGTATTCAGAGTGTGGAAAATTACTAAATATGTATCTTTCTCACACATTTATTACGTCTGGGTTACATACAATGATTTGCAGTTGACGAGACAGAGCACAGAGCGGAAATGTATCCCCTTCATAGTCCATTTTCAACAAGCTCTGACAAATGTCTGGGAAAATACTGTCCTTGGCTCAGTATGGATTGCTATGTCTCAATCTCGACTCGTCTACTCATTGCATACAAGGAACCACCCAAAGAGCATTTCTTTTATCTGATGCCAGTTATATTGTTCAAATTGAGTGCTCCCTAGTTCTGTCACTACTGCTCATTAGTCCCAGACTGCATCCTCTTTAAGTTGTATCGTGTAACTGTAATGCAATACTGGATGGTCCACGTTTTGCCTATCATCAAATACATAAGGATGTGTCAGCAACCAACCTTGAAGCGTGGTTTTAATGAGGCAATAACGTATATAATGATAGCGTGAGCGGGCTAATGTATAAGACGATCGCAAGGTAATGAATTGAAGGATCGAAAACGTTTTCCTCCACTATGATGGTTACAAAACCCATATTCGTGAAGATAGTGATATTTTCGCAATAAGCCGCAAGTATCTGATCCTTTAAAGTTCATAATATGGTCAGCTTTCTACACCCAGTTCTAGGAACATTGAAAAAGCCAACCCGAATCGATTGCTATTTCATGAAACCTGGAGGGCGAGATATAAAAAAAATATTTTTGTGCAAACAGTGAATTAGGTCTTTAGCACAAAGCTAGGTTTCGTCATTGGAAAACTAGTGGCTCAATACATTTATTTCTGAATTACTTTCAGTCCTGGGAAAACGTTCAGAAGAATGGGGGACAAACTGCAAATGACTGATATGAGAGGATCATCTATATTGCGTGATAGTTAAACGTGCGGGTCACATTGCAATCACATACAGCAGTTTCCAGGAAACACGCGACAATCAATCAGCACATGGAAATAATTTGAAATTTTTATCCATCAGTCAAAAACATTTTTTAATTTAAACTTTACTCTTACTCAACGCGATGCATACCCGCACTCTGTTAATTTCACGGTGGAATTGTGAAGTTTAGTTTGGAAACTCAAACTGTCTTGAAGCATAGCATAGCGGACGTAACCAGTGAATGTAATCTCCTTATTTCCCATTCCACTTTTGGCAATGCTTTGAATTATATTTCATTACCTCATATTCAGTAGAATGAATTGGATGGGTGCTGTTTAAAACCCAATGGTTTCCTACAGGGATATGTAGAACAATGAAAAACGATATGATGAACTGCCTGGTGATCACATGAGTAGCAAGTTTGTGGTTTATCTGAAAGGTACAAATTTTAGGACTGAGTTAGGTTGATGAATTCTCTTTGAGACTCACCCTTGTCCAGGCAGCCTCACTGTGACTTCAAGCGTTTTAGTGCACGGTGTGTTCGCCTTGTACACGGCAAAGATTCATCACAGAAGTAAACTCTATTAAAATTTATTCGATGGAGTTATTTTTGCTAATTCTAAACGCGGCTCTGTATCGTAAGTTTCGTGGTTGTTCCCTTGTATCCTCAAAATGATTCGCTCTAACACTGACTGAACAAAGCATGCCTTTTAGCATAGAGTGCTTTGTTTCATGTCTACTATTCAGTTGCTTAGCAAATATGAGCGGGAGTCGATCAGAAAATCATTTTATGTACCTATACAAATAAAAGTACATCAGAAAGAAGCACGATTTGCGTTTAATAAGAAGATAGGTTGTGACTATTCCACATCTGTGGAATGTATTCATCTTCGAATTTGGAACAAATGTTCAAATAGAAAATAATTTTAGTTATAAACAACTGCGTTAGATTATCGGTTACTTCTGCTCAGTAATGAGTGACATCATTTCACACAAATCTGCTTTTTTTCTACGCAATGCTACAACCAAGGAGTACTAAAATTGTTTTTTTTTCGTTAGAACTCATCAGCGTTGCAAACCTAACGACCCTCGATGGAGTTGAACTACGAACTCTGCATAAATGGTATCTATGTTACTTTACTAGCCAGTTCACTTTTGAATTGTGCGTAACGATAACGTATGTACAGATCAATACAAGGCGTAACACACCACTACTCACATGTAACTGTGAGTTTAATTTGACTTGGAATCCAGCCTAGGAGGTGTAAGTTTATCACTGTTGCCGTGTTTTGATAGAAGTTCCGCTTTACTGGACAAATTCAAATTGGGTCAACGTATAGCATAATGTTTCTTCCTGCTTTGGTTTCAGCCCAAAATACACAACTACCTTTAACTTCGGCAATCCAGCAAACATGCACTGATGATTGAGGTCAACCTTAGTGTGAAGCTGGTTGATAAAACGGTAACACCTGCATTGTATTGTCGTTTTTCGGAATCCAAACTGAACGAGACTTGCATTCGTTCGATCCACGTTCAACCGAGTTTAACGAATGCGAGCTTTACTTTATGTAGATGGGTTAATCGCGGAGGTAAAGTGTACGTAGAGTAGGGCGTCGCAAACGTCTGTAAACGCCTAACAAACTCTTTCGGCTTTGGCATCTTATGTTTTTCTTTATGCTTATTACTTGAAGGCTTCTTAAAGAATTGTGTTGGTGCACCGTGTCCATTGTAACCCTCCTATGTGAAATTGATAGCTGAATGGGGGAGTATAGATTGCCCACTATTTGAGGCACTTTGCTGTGCAAAATAAATTATCTACAAAGCGACTATATTCAAAGGGAATACCAGCTTACTATTCAATTGATTGCTGTTCACCAAGGAGGCAAGAAAACCAATTAAAGTGGTGCAAGTGATTAACCCACTGATAAATAAACATATAGTTCTGTGGAAAAGGGATAGAACGTGTAGTTGCACGGAGACAAGAGCTTGAATAGTGCTTCCGTGGATCTTCCAAGAGTGCCGTCACACTTGGTTGGATGTTTTATAATGAAATGGATAGATTTAACTGACAGAGGTTTGAGTAATATGACACCATATCCCGGGGAAACATCGCCTTGTGGTAATGTTGTTGTAATGCATTGCATCAACAAAGTGCGATAGCCAACTAGTAACACGGACACAATTTGAAATGACCGGGTCAGTGGTCATGAAAAAAAGGAATTATATAAGTGAACTATTAGCTACAGTCTCCCAAGCTGACAAGTGCACAGCCACACCCCCAGAAAAGGACAAAACACACCTAACTGATCAATAAATAATAAATAGATTACTCCATAGTGGAAAATGAATAGTTAACTATATATGCTCATGACTCTCGACAGTTCGTGCAGTCCTATGGTAAATGGGTTGCCCAAAGTTTACAAAGCTGCAAGTCTTTCTAATTTCTCTCCCCATTGATGAGAGACTCACCATAGCATTTCCCTGCTCAAATACTATCCGATTTACTTGATCCGGAAGGGATTTTCGTGTGGTCTACTTTGATTAAAAGTGTTCTAACAGAACTCCGACGATTGTATCATTATATATAGAGGCTAAGGACTCTAACCATTCCCCAAAACCGTACTGTTCTACTCGTGATTGACTTCATGCATTCGCACTGGTCAAGTGTAAAGTATACGGATTTCAACTAGTTATAAGCTAGATTTATCATTGTCCTGATTTGAGAGTGTTGAACTTTTTTTCGATTATTTTCGTTCTCAATAAATGCATGTGGTTACTCCTGATGTAAAGAACGTTTGCACCATACACGCAGAAGTGGTCTGCAAAATTTCGCGACTACTCTCCAAATTCGAACTTCATGTTCCAGTTGATGCACCTACAGAAACAGCGATATTCCGTATCTTGACCGTTTGTTAGTTATTCGTGAAACGAGTATCTTTTGAATCCAAGCAACCTTTTATACTAGAATATTCCTGTACGACGGTATCAACTTGCTTAATTTATTTGCTAATTTTTATTTCAATAAATCTGCACTGTACAATTAGTCGTTGCATGTATAAAACTACCTTGACCTTGCAGGGAGTGACCACATACAACAGCAGAAATCGATCCGTTCCATAAAAACTGAAGTTATCCTCCATTGTCTGTTAGTTTTCTCTCCGTATATTACCGATATGATTATGAATTACCGCAAACAGTTGTTATTTAGAAACTGTTTAATTTACCACATATCCAGAATATGTCCCCCAGTTTCCCAACACTGAGAAATTAGCATTGTTTATCAGCTAATTAATTATCTCCTGTCTAATTGACAGTCCTTATTGAAGCCAAAACGTAAAATTACCTCGTCGTAAATGTGATAAATGGGATTCATGTCATTTCTTTTATGATGATGTTTGTAAGTTATTTTTGAGAGAGAAGTCCATCATTTGGTAACCCTCAGTTGCGTCACTTATACTGTTTTCCGATTGGGAAAAAGGAGGTGGAGATAAATCCACGCCGATCTATATTTACCGATCGAAACAAATTCAAAAATCTGGCGGAGTAAAAACATTTCAAATGAGTAAATAATTCAGATAGATTCATTAGGAAAAAATCGATTTGGCGAACAGGTTTGCTTTTGTTGCTTTATCTGACCGAGGCGAAACACACCGTGTATGTGCGGGAATCATACCTTTCAATCTGTTCAATGATGAGGAGCCGATCTAAGGATGTTGAAGCTCAATTGCTACCTGTAGCAGAGACGAAAGCGATTTGAATAAATAAACACCTACTATGTGCAAACAAACACTTTTTATCAAATCGCTTTCCCTCCCATGGTCATTCGTTCAAAGTGCCCCCATCTAACCTTTTACACTGCGCAGGGGATTATCAACAATTATGTAGTCAGTATTGCTCCACCCATTTCAAACCCCTCAACTTCCACTTTGCTTCTACTAAAACCCGGAATTGACTGTCTCCCTGTGTCATTTCCCTGACTTACATACTGTGCAGTAATTGGCCAGTAGATGCAGAAAAGAAAGCAAGTTTATTTGCCACATTTTGGTTTTTCTGGTATAACCAACTCACTACTTGGCTAACCACTTAAAAAAATTCATTTGATCACCAGCATTGACGGCAAAAGGAAAGTTTATCCAACTTTGGGCGCTTGAGCGCCCATGAGAAAAGGAAGGCTTGCTGCTTCGTCCAGCTACGATAATTCTGCAACATTTCGCAATGTATCATGGTGTAAGATCAATGAACCGTAAATCGATTCATCTGTGCTTAACTTATGGATTTAGAAAAGCAACCGCTTGTAAGTATTTCCCATGATAAAACTCTGACTTTGACATAGTCGGGACGAGGAAAGGTAGTTATTACGAACAACGGGTTTCAGTAGTTCGTTATACACAGAAAAAATATCTTATTTGGAACAGGTCTTCAGAACTCCCACAGGATGATAAATGCAACGGTCTGACAGTAGATGCATATCTCCTGTAGTTACAAAGGTAAATCCTTTAATTCACCTGCGTGTTTCGTAGGAATCGAATAAATGCTTCTTCCTGTGTGCAGCGTACTCACCGGCGTGAGCGGTGCAACGGTCTGACAGTAGATGCATATCTCCTGTAGTTACAAAGGTAAATCCTTTAATTCACCTGCGTGTTTCGTAGGAATCGAATAAATGCTTCTTCCTGTGTGCAGCGTACTCACCGGCGTGAGCGGTAACTCGGGACAGTCGTAGCCAAATATCTTTCAATCCACGTCCACATAATTGCTTTGGGCTGTTTTATTTCCGGTTCGAATCTTCCCACCATCACACCTAGATGAAACGTAGCTTAAATGTCGTTCACCTCAATATAACGGGTATTGTAATGGAGCTGTTAGTGTTTCGCTATTCTAAGTTTCACTGCTCAGGTTGCGGTTCCTTATTATGTGTTTGTATTATATTATGACGTATTGTACCTACTTCCGCTATTCAAAGCATAGTAAATGTGTGGGAACGCGTAGTGTATATATAAATACTCCTTCTATTCAATGTAGAAGAAGTTGTTTCTTTGTTGGGCGAAATTCTGCTGCCATGTTTGTATGGATTGTGTGTTGTTCTCCAAATAAATTAACTATGCAAGCTGATATTGATTATTTTATGTTCCGTAAATAATAAAAAGGTGTACAACATACTTGTTTACAATTGTGGTGAGATGCTACTCATTTGTGCGCAATAGGTAACATAGTGGATGGTTACTTTCAACAACCAAAAATCAACAAGATCACTGCGGGCAATTTTCTGGGTTTCAGAAAAGAACTATCGATTTCTACATTCATGACCCATTGTGTAGACAGGAACTACAGTGCTATGTTTTTGATTAGATGTTTGTGTTATGTACACCAAATTGGTTCCCTCTGAAATTTTAATAAACAGTTATTCGTGACCAGCACCGTATTCTAGAATTATAACACAAGGAGTAACAGCGGTGAAAAAAGCAACTTCATGAGCAAGGTTTTAACAATCACAGCTAATCATAACGCTTAATTTTATCCACCGGGACATGGTTGTGTGCAGTGTGAAATGAAAATGTTCACTTATGTGAAGTAGTTCGATTCATCAGGTTTTGAGTACATGAAATTAACTGGATCCCTCGTGTGCGTCTACATCGATTAAGTGTATGTTACTTTGGCGTATAGCTTTCCGAATTTATTTAGATAATGTTGGCTATCACAAAGCGTCAACCGTGATTGAAGTGAAATACATGAATCATGGCATTTTGAGTCTGTTTCTAAGAATTAGAGTCAGCGGCAATTAAATGGAAGAGAACAGTGACGAAATAAAGAAACATAAGCTACAAAACAATGTGCTGATATTTTTACAAGTGTGGGGGAATCGCATTTACTCCTTCAGTTCACTTCTAGATACCCCCAAATCCCCAATTTAGTGCTTCCCGGCGGTAGATTCTTGCTATGTGCTGATGGTGTCAACCCTCAATGTTATTGCATTCGTTCAAAGCAAAAACCAGAACCACAAGTTTAAATATCTGAGTAATGAATTAACAAGCTTCTTGTTGTAGATGTCTCATTTGCATTCACTCCTTTCGTTGGTTGGTGATTCTCGTTTATCGATACCATCGGTTTTCTTCCAATTTCATTCCTGTTCTGATAGCAAAATATTGTAGTTTATGGGAAAGTCGGAAGTGTTGTATTAACTTTTTAGTGACCAGAATCGATGAGAAAATGTGATGTTTCACTCGATTCTGTGTCCCCTCTAAGTGGCTTTGACTTTTCACAATTTATTCCGATGACCGTAGTCACCCAATGGGTGCACACTGCGTCCACTCTGTTCTTTTTTTGGGAGGGGGGTAGAATATTGCTTGTCATTTATCGGTATACTCTCAGTAGCAAAACTCTGTCATTGGGAAAATCAGAGCACTTTTCAAATGTTTGTTTATTCAAATAAGATCACTGTTCCTTCTGCTATCAAAACAACATTGTTTTCAAACAAATGTTTGCCGAGGTGCTTAAGAGAAGTGTATTTACAATTCAGCTCCAAATGAGAGTGTTAAATCCAAAAAACGGAGGCAAGTGGTTCGTTTTGGGAATATTTCCTGTTTTCCGGCATTTTATTAGCAAAAGTAAAATGAGATGTGCTCTTAATCAACAACTCTCAATCACTAGAACTTTATGGTCAAAGTAGTGATCACCTGGAGCGATCGTCTTCTTTCAAAACATTAATTGGCTCCTTAACAAAAAAATAAATTCATGCCAAAAGCTAGAAGCAGAAAAGCGTGGATTTGCTGTTAACTGAGTTTATTCTCCACAGTAATCTGAATAGGCTGAAGATTTCTCTCGCCAAGAGATTTCAATATCGTTATCTTTTCTCTCCTCTCTCATCAGTTGACGAACAGCTAATTTGCTCTCAATTGTCGCACAATCAAAGTGGTAAACAAAAATGTATTATTTGAGAAATTCAAACATTCTACTTCACAGTAATGATCTTCTGCTCACAGGTTATATTTGCCCTTTCGGCTTTTCCGCCGTTCATGTTTCTGCTAATATGCTCAGTACTCTCTTGTATTATCCAAAACGTTTTGTCGGTAACGGTCTACTTCATTCCATTTCCGCATTTGGCGTTAACTGCATGAACAGTGTTGGACTCCCAGGGTGGATAACATCGCGCCTCAATTCCAGTCAAACAGTCGAAAACACATTCCTGTCATTTTTATCATTGTGAGGAAGTGTCCACAGAGATGTAGTGCATAATTTAGCAGTCAAGAGCAAACGCTCACACAAACGTCAATATACGAATAAGAAGAAGGTTCAGACGGACTACATGTAATCACCTTTCTAACTTTTCTGATCCATCAGTATTGGGATTAGAAACGATCATATTCGAACGATGTTAAACTGATAATACCTGTTTATAGTTCAGTTATTACTAAGGCCACTTCCGTATTTTAATTCGAATAGAATTTCGAACTGAGATTCCAGTTGTAAGAAAACTAGTTTAATAATAAGCTGAGTAAGGACCTTACACAATTTTAATAGTCGCTAAAAAGTGTTGTTCTTTCGATTTGATTAATTACATATTCCTTTTTGGTGATAATGAGCACAACACAAGTTCATGAATGAGATCATTTATTGAGTTTTGAAATTTATAGTTTGGTCGGTCTGTTCTGTTTAAAATCCATCTCGACTTTTTAATTTGGACCCGGAAGAAAAATATGAAAAATTACAGACCTACCGGGTCGTGATACCCTTACATTTGAAACCACACATATTGTTGTAAAAACTGTATGTTTGTATGAACCTCATATTCTAGTGCTTCAATCCACTCCATAGTAAATGTCAGCTTGAATATGATGAGGCAGTTCGCAGTTTTGGGGAAAATTAGTCAGTATGCTTTCAGCAAGATTGCAGGCATTCATAAATTTAAACAGTTGCTTTGAATTGCTGTGGAATTAATTTTTCGTTGTTAGTTGCCTGATACTTGCGCTACTTGGTTAAATGCATTCAATGAAGGTGCCTAACTTGTGCCCCGGATTCAATTTTGTCTGTTTTTTTTTCAGATGGCTACTCCCTTCTCGCTTACAGTCCAATGGATAGTAGCACATCCATTGTTCAGCTTAGGGGGGTACTGACAGGAATTCCCTCAACCGATAACGACAGGACAGACCAGGCATTGGAAAACCGAGATTGGTGGAATAAGGTGCTGGAAACCAGTAATCACAATCACATGCAGTTGACAATTAGTCATAAATTGCGTTTCCACTATGTGATCTCCGCTCCTGGCCGGAGATATTTGATTTTTCAGGAGCCTGGACTGGAGTCTCATTATCAACAGTCTCTTTGGACACAGAAGTATGAAGACGTGAGTCGCATTTGCTTAGAGTTAATTTTATTTCTACCTTGTTGGTTTTTTCCTTGTTACATTTGCCAAATGAACAAACGTCAAAATAATCCGAAGATTGGGAAATTAACTGAAGAATTGTGTGTTTTGAAACAAGTTTCTATATACTGTTAGAACTAAATGACTAGTCAAATTATGGCAAACTGCTAAGACTCGGCATGACCTTATCCCGTTGATTTGGTCAATAAAGAACCTTTGGTTATTAATCAATCGATTGGTTCTATCTCATGCTAAATGTAAACTAGTCTGAATAATCGAAGAGACGGTTATTATTTGAAATAAGAAGAATGACCAATTCCACAGAAAGTGACTAATGAGATCAAATGGGTGTTGACCCAACTGCCTAAAACATCAAGGTCACCGATTACGTACGACACGTCATTGTGATGAGCAAACACGAATAAGTCGAGGACCAAATCAAGACTAAACCTAATTACGCTGATTTGTAACGGATTTAGTAAAGAATATTTGGAGGGATTTAAAAATAGACCAATAATCTGACCGAATGATAAATGTTTATAAATGCTTCTGTGGTTTATCGAAAATACTTATGAGAGCAGTGAGCACAATCTATTGTTGACAATGAAGATAAACTTGGTGGGTTTAATTTCGCCCAGTAGTTGATAGTTCTGCAAAAATACTAGATTGATTCTTCTTCCTAAACTCAGATCAAACTATGCCTGCTTTTTCACGAATACTCTCATTAGATAAACCGTTGAATATCAGCTGGGGTGTAAAGATTATTAGGAAAAACTACGTCTTACTTTTGGATGACATGACATAAGCATTCTATTTGCGAACGTTTAATGTTCGGTTGAAACTTATTGATCAGATGTTTTGGAAAAAAACACAAATCGGTCATGGGGGTACCACTATGTGCTCCATCTACCGGCTTATTTAAAAAAAGTGGACAAATATAAATTTAAATCATTCATCGAACAATATGCGCTCTGTGTACGATATGCAGAGTTTATTCGCTGTTAGATTCACACAATGGCGAACACGATCAATCTGTCAAGTTACTTCGCTTACTCAAAATAAAATATTCACAGTGAGAATACAGATTTTTTTAAAAGGAATTAATTTCACCCAGTCGATTTTGAAATATCTTGATTAATGCAGCACGCAGCAGATAAAAAACAACTGGGGAAGACCACAATTTGCAAGTTTGTATCGTTCACGTGTTTACCCCAGAGGTTGTTCTGAAACGTTATGCAGCAGCAGGACGCTGTACCGGGATAACAATATGAGACAACCATCATGTTTTCCGGTATCAATTGTAACAAACAAGCAAAAAGGGCTACTTTCCAACTACATAGGAATTTGAAGAAACCAAAATGTGGTGCATGAACTGAATCGATCTACCACTTAGATTGCAGATAGTACCGCTTCTTATCTCTTGCTATGAAAACATTTCTTTATTCCTCATTTCTGTCCCCAGAAATTATGCAAATCAATGGACTTCATTACCAGCACGTTTCTTGCAGCAAAGCTTCATGTTTCGTTTTATTCTAGGCTAACTATGTGCTTGGGAATAAAAGACAGCTGAAAAGTTTGTTGTCTATGTGTAAGTGTTTGTTCAGACTCCTGTCCTGAGCAATGAAGATAATCACAATGTGCACCAAGTGTTCAGTGCATGGATCAGATCAGTTAATTCACGTATGGTTGAAATAACCGGCACTGCGGATTCAATTGAAGCAACCCACTACTCTGAATGAAGTTCTACTGCCTTGTGAGAACCGCATCAAACGCGACGCTCATTCTCCTACCACCAAACCTTTTCAGTTTGCCAGAAATTTGCTTCATGCACGTGAGCTTCTTTTGGGGGAAACATTCTACTCACCAAGAAGCTTGACACATCCGAACGATCTTTTGAATGAAAAAAAATGTTGTAAACGTAGCCAGTTTTTATTCCGAAATAAACCGGTGTTCGTTTCGAACCTCATGACGGTTGGAACGTTCACATCACATGTTCTTTGCTCACACCTACAGATCATGTGATTCACAATGTGAGTTTAATTACGGTGTGCTACATCGATCTCTAGTAATAACTGAAATAAGTTCCGAATGTCAATGTAAAAGGATCGTTCTTTTACGTTTTATGATTAGAATAACAAAGCCCTTATATGTCCATGGTTGTCTGCCCAGCAGAGCCTTAACTTTATTTACATGTTTTAATGCTTCCTTTCACATTTCTTTTCCGAGTTTAGATTATTCAATCAATCATTTGTTGAGAACCATAGATTTTTAAAATTTTTGTTCCATATATTCAACCCTATCTTCCGATTCATTTAACTTCAAGCATCAGTATGGACAACTCGTATCAACTGCTCGTAGTTAAGCACGCAGTTTAGTCCTGTGGTTCATATTTTAGAAACTGAAAATTCTTATGATGCACATTCCTTCCATGAAATCATTTAGGAAAATATGAACTTAGTAACAGATGGCGACGACCAAAAAAGACTCTAATCACTACCAAATGTCGGTTACGTCCTACAAGTAATTCATTTTTCTTGTTAACTGAAGTGCGTTATCGTCAAATGTACGAACCTGCCACATTTGTAGTTAAACATTTGCAGTGCACATATTTGGGAAGTAAAACTGAAAATTATTGCGTTTATGTAGGAGCATTCTAGAAGTCTGGGTGCATTATTTGTGAGAATGATGTTCGTTGAAATCTTTTAGAAATCAATGTCCAAATTTACGATTAATCCTGCAGCACGTCAATCAATAAATGGTCTATCTGGCGTTGTACAGCATGAGGCACAAGTTCTCTTTCGATCGGAAAGCCGTTGAAGTGCCGCGCCAATCTTGGTGATTAATTCAGCATTGCAAACTA